GTGGGAACTTGAGCAGTGTTCTGAGAAGAATGGTAGAGTGTCAGATGAAAGTTATTCAGCTATGATCTGGACCAATCACTTCACTCCCTTGGGCCTTAGTGTAGTCAAGTCTGAATCAACTAGATCATATTTTTAGGAACGTCGCATTTATTTAAGAAGAGGCAGTAGGTGGCTAAAACTAATGAGTGATATTTTCAAACATTTATACAACACAGAATCAAAATAAGTCATATAATGTGTTTATCATAATATTGGACACATAGTACGTGTTCAACACATAGGCTTGCTGCCATTGTTATTGTTATTGTTGTTGTTGTTTGACAATGTCTCTACTTGGTGTAGTATAGGTATATTTTGTAGCTGTTCCTCAATATATTATCAAGTACAGTGAATCATCCATAGGCTTTCCTCACCCTTTGCTTGGATCTTTTCTCTGTGACAGTACAGAATCATTGTGGTGCACTCATCCTAACGGAGAAAGGTCAGAGGGAGATTATGTTTCTTTTCCTGCCAGAATAACTTTATCAGGAGGAAAGGAACTGTCAGAAATGGAGGAAGACATGCGCTTGTTCATTCATCTTTGCCCCTTTCTGCCAATGCAGGATAACTACTGAAAGAACATTCTCAAATGATGCTTTTTAAATGACTTCAAGCAGTGGTGCTTCCAATTAGATTGATATTTGTCATAACTATTTTATTGGCCCTTGGTAATCACAGAGTGAATTACTGCTATTACTCTCCAACATTGCAATGAATCAGTTCACAGAATAAATTACAAAGAAAAGCAGGCTGGGTGCAGTAGCTCACACTTGTAATTCCAGCACTTTGGGAGTCTAAGGCAGAAGGATCACTTAAACACAGGAGTTCAAGACAAGCCTGGGAAACATGGGAGACCCTGGCTCTATAAACAAACAAACAAACAACAACAACAAAAAGCTGGGCATGGTGGCGTGTGCCTCTGTCCCAGCTACTCAGCAGGCTGAGGTGGGAGAATTGCCTGAACACAGGAGTTCGAGGCTTCAGTGAGCCACGATCACGCCACTTCACTCCAGCTGGGATGAGACTCCATCTCAGAAACAACAACAACCACCACCCTACACACACACACACACACACACACACACACACAGGCACACACACTGAAGAAGACTGAATTATTGGAGACTGAGTACTTTGCAACTGAAGAGTTACACAATAAAGTGATGGTGTCTTAAGAGTATCCTAGTATTAGTTACTCTGTTTTTTTTTTTTAAATTTCAACTTTTATTATATTAGACATGGAGGTGTATGTGCAGATTTATTACAAGGGAATCTTGTGTGATGCTGAGGTTTTCAGTATAGATCACATCACCCAGCTAATTAGCATAGTACCTGATAGGTAGTTTTTCAACCCATATCTCCCACCCTCCCTCCCCGCTCTAGTAGTCGGCAGTGTCTGTTGTTAAAATATTTTTGTCTCTGTGCTCAATGTTTAGCTCACACTTATAAGTGAGAACATTCGGTATTTGGTTTTCTGTTCCTGGGTTAATTCACTTAGGATTATGGCCTCAAACTGCATCCATGCTGCTGCAAAGGACATGATTTTGTTCTATTTTTATGGTTGCATAATACTTCACATTTATATGTACCACATCTTCTTTGTCCAGTCTACCATTAGATATATATGTACCACATTTTCTTTATCCAATCTGCCATTGATGGAAACCTGGGTTGATTCCATGTCTTTGCTATTGCTAATAGCACATCTGCTGACATGTTAGTTACTTTGTTTTTAATTCACAATTAGTCTTCCAGATGCTCCCCAAACTTTCTCAGTGAAGAGTGGTTGCCTTCTTGGAACTCTACTGTATGGACTCCAGATTATATACTTCTAATTTCAAATTAAAATTTGTTTTTGTGTTACAAAGCTGTCTAGGTTGGCATCCCAGTTTTACCATTACTGGCTTTGTGTCCTTATGCAAATTATTTAATCATCCTGTGACTGTTTTTATATTTTTAAATAGACAGGATTATAATTGCAGCTACACGGCATTGAGAATTAAATAAAATAATACATGATGTTATCAGTTAATGTAGTGTCTGATGTATAGTATGTGCTTGAAAGTGTTAGATACTGGTCGGGAGCGGTGGCTCACGCCTGTAATCCCAGCACTTCAGGGGGCCCAGGCAGGCGGATCAAGAGGTTAGGAGATCGAGACCATCGTGGCTAACATGGTGAAAGCCTGTCTCTACTAAACACACAAAAATTAGCCGGACCTGGTAGCGGGAGTGCCTGTAGTCCCAGCTACTTGGGAGGCTGAGGCAGGAGAATGGCGTGAACCCAGGAGATGGAGGTTGCAGTGAGCCGAGGTCACGCCACTGTACTCCAGCCTGGGTGACAGAGCGAGACTCCATCTCAAAAAAAACACAACAACAAAAAAGAAAGTGTTAGATACTATTGTTGCTATTATTAATTTTATTATTAGTATATGACATATTTCTCAGGCCCCATACATATGGCAAATATAAATTATCTATTTTTAGATGTTAATAAAACTTATTATGGTGAAAAATAACCTATTTTACAATTCAAAAGACCCGACTTTAATATGGGGTCCACCAAAAATTAATTACAATATCTGGAAATAATTGCAGCTCAGGTACATTGCAATATACATTTTTTCTCAGGACTGAGTTAGGGTTCAAACTATGCTTTATATATATAATTTGGCATTCTTTTTAGTAGTTTTTAGTACTCTGGTCACATTTTTACTGATAGTCCCGTTTTATTTACTCAGCTTCCTTTTAAGAGTGATTGAGAATATGTTATTACTGTAGTTTATAGCTGAGGACCTGAGATTCAGAATGAAATTACATTACTAAACATGGTGAAAGAGGAACTAGAACCTAAATTTTCTTAAATCAAAAGAATAAACTCATTTATTCTGTGACTTTCTAGTTATCTGAAGGAATAAACCATCCAATATAGTTTTCTGCTCCAATAGAATAACTTGGGAATACATTATAAAAATATGTGTCATTAGGCAATTTCATTCTTGGATGAACGTCATATGGTGTATGTATGCAAACCTTTATTGTATACTCTACTACACATCTAGGCTGTGTGGTAATGCTCATTGCTCCTAAGCTACAAACCTGTACAGCATGTTACTGTACTGAAATATTATAGGAAATTATAACACAATGCTAAGTATTTGTGTATCTAAAAATACCTAAACACAGAAAGGGTACAATGAAAATATGATATTATAATCTTACGAGACCACTGTCATATAAGTGGTCTGTTGTTGATTGAAACATCCACGTGCAGTGTATGACTCTATTAAGCAGACATGGCTCTATTTTGTCAGGACAGACACAGATGAAAACAATAATAAAGACATAAGATTTTCCTCTGCATCTCACAGTTGAGGAAGCTGTAAAGGGACTGAATTTTGAACCCAATGCCATTAATAAATTATTTAGCAATCTACCTAGAATGACTTCATTTTTTAAATCAACAAAATATTATTTAAGCCACTACTACATACCTGTTTTGAATATATTTTGTTATTCAGGGAATCAAGGAGTACAGCAGTGAAAAAACTAATGGAAATCCCCACACTCATGGGGTTTTCTTTTCTTGCTTAATGGGAGGAGAACAACAATTTTAAAGTCTGTTTGTCAAAGATGTTGTACGCTAGATGGTAATACGTGCTTTGGACCAAAATTAAGGAGGGAAAGAATAGGGTCAACGTATAAGTCATGTGTTAGTCTTTTTGAATAAGAAAATGGTAGGATGTTGTTCTGACCTGAGACGAAATGGCAGGAAGAGAAAATTGGTGGTGGCAGAGAGCTCCGTTTAGGATATTCTAAATTTAAATAGCTTATTAGAACTCTAAATGTGTAGATCAAGTAGAGAGTTGGCTGGGCTAAACTATAAATCTGTCAATTCCAGATGTATAAATGGTATTTACAGTCATAAACCTGGATTAGACCTTGACGGGAGTTAGTCTAATAGGAAATAGGAGATAGCAAAGAGACAAGCCATTATTGTTACAAACATTTAGAAGGAAACCTCAGAGGAGACTAAGAAAGTTTGACCCATCGCGGGAGGAAAACTGGAGAGAATGGTGCTCTGGAAGCCAAGTGGGAAAAAAAGTGTTTTAATTGGAAATAAATGTTACATTATTATAGCGTAAACTATAGCAGTACTAAGTAAGTCTAATTTACTCCAGGATAGGGTAAGGAGCAATCGAAAGTAATGTGTGAATGTCTATTATTTGCATAAGGCAAGTGGTGATTAAAGAAAGTAAACACACGAGTGCACACACACACGCACATGCAGATAAAGCATTTTCCCTGCCTTCAGAGTGCAAAGGCAGGGACATAGAATTAGGAACACTGGCTATAAATCTCATAAAATATGACAAACAAAGGTCTGTGGGATTACGGATGAGGTACAGATTAATTTTGATTGGCAACTTCAGGCGGAAAAGGTCATATTTGAGCTGGGTATTAAATAATGACTATGAGTTTGTGGATAAGAAATAGGAATAGACAAAAGAATAATGACATTTGAAGTGAATAAGATAGAATGAAAAATGGTGTAGAGACACGAAAAGGCACAGTATGTTTAAATGAGAAATAAACTCATTTGACAAAAATAGACCCTGCAAAAGAAGCAGGGATAAACAGCACCAGATATGCTTTTTTTCCTTTGTTAAAAATCTTACTCAACAGTCCAATAGAAAGACAAATTTGATAAAGTGAGATTTTTCTCAGAACCAAATATTCTGATTAGCATCAATTTGCAAAAAGCCGTTTTTATTCTGGGAAAGCCTCAAGCATAACATATTATAAAATGAATATACACTTGGATAAACCTAACTGTAGAGAAATATACATTATTCCACATAGGTTATTCCATTAGGTTGGTTTTAATTTCAAATAACTTTGCTTGGGCTATTTTCTAACTTTCTTAAATGTAATGCCATGTTTTAATTTTATGTCTTTTCTAGAAATGGTTCTCTTTACTGCGAGGCTGCCAGGTCACCCAATGAGAGAGGGGCCAAATAAGCTGGAACATCATCTAATACACTGAATGTAAGTGAGTGCAACATTAATAGCTTTAAACAAAAGTAGAAAGAAATGTTGTTTCATGTATGACTTATACTGCCTTGGAATAGTCCATGTTTGTGAATTAATATGGTTAATTGCTGGATACATGACATGGACCAAGCTCTCACTGGTGAGTGTGGGGTTGCTGCACACACCTGTGTCAGGGCTCCATTTATCCTTGAAGCACACAAATTACAGTTTTGCCTGGAGTCGGTTTATGTCTTGTAATTGCTCTGCTTCTAGTAAAACATGGAAAGCCTGCTTTCTAACTGCGGTTACATGTATTTTCACTTATTCTACTTTCTGACTCCTACTGAACTCATAATTTACCCTTCCTTTATCTTTCTGTATCAGCCTGGTCCATCAGACACTACACTTAGCTTTATTTGCTGCCCGGGATCCAAAGTCAGTCACTGGGTTCTCTCCAGCCCTCTAGCTCTCTATGAAATCTATCCTCTGGCATAATTTTCTTGCCAGTTGACCGGTTAATATTTATTTCTAGAATTGATTATTGGGTGTGCCTTTCACTAGACCAAATATTACATGCAGGCAAGAATCATGTCTGTTTGCTCATACCTCTTAGATATTCAACACAACCATGCTGTCTGACCGCATCTAGTCCTGAACAGGATGTGACCACTTAAAATGTTCCAGCTCTTTCAGCATTTTTCAAAATCTCTATTCTCCATGAGCTCAAACCTTGCCCTGACTTCCTTAGTTTCAAATGAATTAGCCTCCTCGTTTAAAAAAAGATGAGGCTATTTGATGTGAATATCACCGAAATTTTCTTCTTTAAACGTTAAAATATCTATTTATCTTCACCTATACTCTATTTTCCAAAATAATCACTCATATTAATTTTAATTATAACACTTTCATTCCTTTACCAATTTTACTGGATCAGCTACTTGTCTCTACATTTGCATTTCTCCATTTCCCTGGTTCCTTCCATGCAGACTAAAACCAAACATGTTTCTCTAATCCTGGAAACATATAGCCAAGTAAAATCCAAACAAAATTATTCCCCATGATTTCACTCTTTTCCTGTGTTTTTCCCCACATTAGCCCCTCTTTACCCATTCAAACTACTTGAAACAACTCTCAATATTCTTTGCTAATGCATGATAAATTCCACAGAAGAAGGATCTATTTTTATTTCATTGTGCAGTGTATTTCCAGTATCTAACACGACATCTAAAATGGTAGGAGCTCAATAATTAAATAAATACATTTATTTCCCATCTCTCTTCCCACTCTACCTGAGTGTGAAAATTTTGCTCCAAGCACTGCTTAAATTACTCTCACCTAGATAACCAACTGTAATAACTCCCTCCACTCTTACTCAATTTATAGCAATGCTTCAAATTCTCTTTTATATCCCATATCATAGTCTATCCTAATTATTTTAACTGTGCATATGTCTCATCACTTCTTCAGAGTCTCAGCCCCTTGAGGTCAGGACAATTAACTTGGTTATTTCTTTTGTTTCCCTAACTTTTAGCTAAGAACTTATTTTTCAACGTTTTACTAATGACTTTAATTAATAGATTTAAGTACTGAAGGATTCTCTGACATTACTCCGACAACTTCAGCACTACCTTTGATAAAATGTTTTGTCCCTGAAATAAAAATATAAAAAATGGAATAGAATATCCTGTTATAAACCATTTCAAAATCATTGGAGGAAGAATTCTAAAACTTTTTACCAAATGAATCATGACATTTATATATAGGCTTCATAATTACATATAATCAATTAAAAATTAATTATAAGTATCTATGCATAGGTATGCTACATATACACCACACACACACACACACACACACACACACAACCCTTTACCCTTGGCTACTTTAGTGCATTATGATCATATTTATGCATTAAATACCTGTACTATATATCAATTGGGTCTCTATGATAAACAAATATATGCATACGACCTTAGACATAAACCACACAAATAAGCCAAGTGAAATATAACCCCCTATAAATTAACATTCTCACAAAAGAGACAACATAAAATCTTGAGTTAAATCATTAAGACTCTGCTTATTATATATACATAAGCAATAAGAACACATGCATCCTCACATGTCTAAAAAAGTGGTTGTAACCATATAGATGAATAGCCATTGATTAAATTATTTCTAAGAAAATGAAAGCCTTTTCTACTGTCTTTAAATTCCCAGTAAATGCACACAATAGAAGGAAGAAAGCCCTAAGCAGCTGTTTTAGGAGTTTGAACAGAGATTTAATAATTATTCCACATTTCCCTTCCCTCTGTCTTCATTTTCTGCAAACCCAAAATTGGGTTCTTGTTTGTTTACTGTTTGATTCTTTTCTTCCACTAACTCATATGGATCAGCAGATCGACTTGAGTGTATTTGCCCCAGGTCTGATATTCTAAAACTCCTTTGGGACACTGTTTCTTGTAATTACCTATAGCTGCATTTACTAAAACCCACGGATTAAAGTTTTCCTACCACGCACCTTGCTCAGGCCTTTGGGTGATCTTACAGTCCGTGGAAAGGGATCAGGAAAATCCAAACTGATTGGTGGCTTGAGGGCCAAATAATTTATTGTTTAATTAACTTTTCTGTTTTTCTATTAGTTGTGATTTCATATAAACATAATAATTTAAGAAATGTTTGGGGGATTTAATTTGTTTTGTCCCCAGTAAAAAGTCTTAAATTTAACCCGTTTTCAGACTTGTATGTAAATGCTATTGCTTGTATGATGTTCACTCATATGGATCACTGTTTATCATAGGGGCATTTGTAAAATCAAAATAATTCACAAAGTAATAATATTTTAAAAATCTAGACACAGTAACAATTCAGGGAGAGCCATAAAGGCTTATAGAGAATCACTTTAAGATGGGAGCTCTCTCAGTCTCTAATTTGGTAAGTTGGATGATTATGTGGTTTATGGTCTTTGCCTTCTCTGTAAATATTTGGCATATACATTGGGTTAAGCCTGGAAACGATGTCTGCATGTGATGTATCAGAGACACTAATTCAGAAGGACCCCAAATTCTATTATATTAATTCTATTTAGTTGTTCAGCTAGCTCTCTTTTGTTTGCCTTTTCATGCTGTCCTCTTTCCTGTAAGTTGACCTGTAAAGACTAGAACAACAGGCTCCAGTACCCACGTTAGCCATTGGGAAGCCCCAGCAGCAGATAATAAGAAAGAAAAAGTGAAATCAGGGTCTCTACTCTCCAGGTTTCTTTGTGTGTTCATCTCAGACTGGCTGGATTCCTCAGTCAAAGATTTGGTATTTTTCTTGGCTACCTTCTAGCCATGAAACATGCAGACACTGCTTACCTGAACAGTTTCCTCCCCTGCTACCTTCTGGACTAGAAGTGGTAACAACTCTTTTTCTCTTATTAGCCCCGGGTCCTGCATTCTCATTTATGGCTCCCTAAGCCCTGGTTATATCTTTGTAAGAAATCTTCACTGAATTATCTTAATTTGAGTGTGCCAGCTATTTCCTATCAGAAATCTGATTGATAGAATTCTCATTGCTGTTCCTAAATTAGCTTCATATTGATTATAATTTTGCAAAATTATGGCTAGTAGAGCTGAATGTTAAATTAAATGTAACTATTTAGGATAATAGACATGAATTACATGTCAATAGGGAAAAGGTCTTGGAAAAATAAGAAAAAATATTGCATTCGTAACATTTGCTCTTTTCTTTCATGTGTTTACTTTGGACACTAAATTACATTTAAGAATTGAATAACTAGAAGGTAGTGCTATTTCTGGTGAACTTTCCCTTTTTTCTATGGATGGATAGCACTGAAGTTACAATGAATTCATCAAGACATCCAAACTACATTTGGTTTGGATGTAGTTTTTTTATGTTTAAAAATGTTAGAGGTTAGTTGACCGATATAGCCAATAGTTGCACTATTTTGTTTTTATTTATTTATTTTTATTTGTATACATTTAAGGGGTACAATGGAATTTTGTTACATGAATATATTGCATAGTAGTGAGGGCTGGTCTTTAAATGGATGTAGCACCTGAGTAAGTTAAACTCTTTTAGACCTTGATAAACTTTTAAAGAAGTATGGGACTAATGTGGCATGAATGGCCATATTTGCCAAAAAGGAAGGCTGGTTGTATTGGTATTGTTGGCATCCAATACATCAAATAATTATTTTAATAATTTGCTTTAAGTTTTGCAACTTTAAAGAGGAAGTATCTAATATCAATATAATTGGACTTCTTCCATCTGTGAAGAATTCAAAAGAGAAACATGTTCTCTTATTTAATTATACAAATTAGCCTCTGAACACTTTTTAATATTGGTATTAGAGGAAAGAGGCAGTTCTTGATATTAAATTTAACCTTGTAGAATGGTACACAATTATGCACCAAAATGTTTCCACAGCATTTTAGTGTTTTAAATTTGCTTGCTGATTTGAATTTGTAAAATAAATTACAGACTTATGAAGTATTTGGGGAATTAAGAAAAAAAGTATAACCCTAGTATAGAACAATTATAATTTTAGTTACCACAATTTTCTCATATAATTTTAATTCACATATGATATTTTTATTCATAGGTCAAATATTTTTCCAAATTTCTACATAGTTTTATAATCAAAATTATTAAATGATTTTAGTAATTTAATAATTAAATATAGCATTTGTACAGAATGTCAAAGTAAACATGCAATTTAGTGAAACTATGACTGGACATTGGCATTCTTAAATACGTTTAAGAAGTCTGCTGGCCACAGAGTAAATATTCAATAAATGTTAGCTATTATTACTTAATGAAAGAGATAATAGAGTTTTAAAAGTGTAGATTACTTCCATTATTGACATTTTAAAATACGTAACTACTCCCATATTGTGAATTAGCAACTTTCACCAATTCTAAGATGCATAATTATTTTTTCAAAACTTTCCAACTCCATCTCATGATGTGCCTCAATTAAATGCAATAATGTTTAATTTTCAATATGTTTT